AACATAACCTTGGGCGAGGATTTAAATCAATCAATCACTAAATAAATAACAATTGGCAAAGGTTAAACGAAAGAGAAGATAAAACACTGACTGGGGGGAAATAGTTGCAAGAAAGACAACTGAACAAGGACTTGTATCCAAAACATACAAAGAACTATTAAACTGTGAAGCTTAAAAAAAAGGGTGGGCGGGCCTAAAGATCTGGACACCTCACCAAAAAAAAATATATATATATATATAGATGACAAATAAGCATATGAAAAGCTGTTCCATATCATATGGGCTTAGAGAAATACAAATTGAAAGGAGATACCACCACACACCTATTACAATAGCTAAAACCCAAAACACTGTCAGCACCAAATGCTGGTGAGGATGTGAGCAACAGCTGCTCTCGTGCACTGCTGGTGGGAATGCAAGATGGGCAGCCAGTTTGGAAATCACGATGCTACACATAGTTTACATATAGCCCAGCAATCATCCTCCCACGTGTTTACTCAAATGAGTTGAAAACAAATGTCCGCACAATCCTGTACACAAAAATTCATAGCAGCACTAGTCACAAGAGCCAAAAATTGGAAACGACCCACATGTCCATTAACTGGTGGGTATGTAAACGGTGGCACATCCACATAGAATGTTATCTTGCAATACTATTTTGGAATGAATGAATGACACCTGCTACATGTGGTTGAACCTTGAAAACATTAGGCTGTGTGAACAAAGCCAATCAAAAAAGGTCACACAGTGTACAATTCCATTTACAGGAAATGTCCAGAATAGGCAAGTCTACAGAGGGGGAAAGTAGATTTGTGATTGCCTAGAGCTGGGAGACAGGGAATGGGGAGTGACTGCTAATGAATAAGGGTCCTTTTTAGGGGCGTGAAAATATTCTAGAATCAGTTGTGGTGGTGGTGGTGGTAACTGTGTGAATTTACTCAAAGCCACTGAATTGTACACTTTAAATGGGTGAACTGCTCTAGGGGCTGGGGTTACAGCAGTAGCAGGAGCTGATATTGCTCTCTGTTAGAGCTGCCTTTATATGGGCAAAGACAGACCCTTAACAAGGGAACCAGCGCGTTAAAGGCTGTTGCGTCCTAAGGAAAGAACCAGGCCAAAGAGACACGGAGAGCAAAAGTGCTATTAGATAGGGTGGTGGGTCATGGGAGATTTTAATAAGATCACAGGCCAGCAGGCATCTGCCAGCACCTGCAGTGCGTGTCCCGGGCAGAGAGAAGAGCAAGTGCCCAACAGGACCAGCTGGTGGTGGCGGCCTTAGGACTCAAACGCAGGTGAGTCTGACTCCGGAACTGGAGTCGTGCTACACTGTGCAGGGGGACGGATCTCACTGTGAAGGTTTGTCTCGTATCCGGTTTTCACTTTCCGCTGGTCAGTGCTACTTCCGGGTGGGGCTCAGGATCCCCAGCCACAGCTGAGCCCATTGGTTCACTCCTATATGCCCGGTACCTGCTCAAGTCCCATGTGTCACTCACAGGCACTCACGAGGACCCTGTGGTCGGTATCGTCCCCGTGTTCCAGAGGAGGAACATGAGGCTCAGGTTAGTGAGTGCACCTAAGGGGACATGACTCCTGGCTGCAGAGCTGGACTTTCAAGTCTGCATGCCGGCTCCACTTGCTGCGCCCCCATCACCCCCAGGGCTGGGGGCCGGGGCAGTGGGTACATCTCTGCCCAACTCCCCAGAAGCTGGTCCTCTTGCTTTCTCATCTAATTGGAGTGAGGCTCTCACTTCTACTTGACATATTTGTTGGTTTAAAAACATTTCACCAGCTACATTTCTTTTAAAATGTTGAATCATTCAAAATTCAGATGGCACTTCCCTTTGAGCTGTCCGTATGACTAAGTTAGAATGAATAGTGATCTCAGTTAAAAGCGTATTCAAAATTCAGATGGCACTTCCCTTCAAGCTGTCCGTATGACAGGTTTCATTCTAAGTTAGAATGAATAGTGATCTCAGTTAAAAGCACCGATAACAGTGGTGACGATCTACATGGCAGTCCTGAATTTATTATTCTTCATATAAAAAGAGCTCTTATGAATCAATAAGAAAAATCCCTCCCAGAATAAAGGAAACTGGGAGGAAGCCATGAGTGCAATACTCCTAGAGGAGGCAACATCAGTGTCTGACAAAGATGGTAAATGTAACCAACCTCATGAGTTATCTAAAAATACAAATTTAAAAGGAGACACCATCTTCATTCATCAATTCACCTGGCAAAGATTTCCTTCACATGGCAATAGCTGGTGATACTATAAATTGTTACAAACTTTCTAGAAAACAATCTATATATATAAAAGGCTAATATGCAAAGTGTCCCCTCAGGAGTTTGACAGGGCAGCACAGAACATAGCAGGTGACCAGCAGCGGTGGTGGGGCACTAAGAGGGTGAGGGAAGGAGGAAGAGGGGAGGCAGGGGAAAGGGGCGGGGAACTGCATGGTGGTGGCACGTGGGTGGCAATGGAAGGAGGAAGCGAGGAGACAGGGAACCTAATAGGCCCTGATCGCCTGCCAGGGATAGGCCAATTGATGCACAAATTCCGTGCACCGAGCCTCTAGTTAAAAATATAAGCACCTTTAAAAAGGCTCAGACCACATTCTTTGATCCAATAATACAACTCCTTGAATTCCAACCTGAGGAAATAATCAGCAATGAGGCCAGAGACTTACATGCAACTATATTTATCAAAGGATTATTTTTTAAAAACCTATGAATAAAGGCTCAAAAATAGAGAATTTTCTATCATAAATGGTTATGCAACCATTAAACCTATTCCCAAGGAATGTAATGATGGGTGAAAATGCTCAAAAATCAGAATTTTTAAAAAGTTTAATAAGTATGCGCAACTATTACATATTCACATGTGATCGCCAGGCTTTTCTCCTCCTTACCTGTCCTTTGGAAAAACTGGTCTGTCATCCAGGAACGTTAAGTGTTTTAGTCGAATAGTGACTGTCCTTCGATAGTTAGGGATGTTCTTAATAACTGGGTTTCCCATCAAATTCAGGACACGCTGTAAGCAAACAGGCAGAACCAAATTAATTGCTAAGAAATGGGTGTGGTGTTAATATTGCATCTGGGCCGTGCTCTAAGGATGAACAAAAAGGAAGTGCCAACATCACGTCCTGCTGACGGTATTAGCGAAGCCAGAGGGTGTCGTGGTTGTGCCATCGGAACGGGCGGCCCTTTCTTTTCTCCAACTTCAGATCCTCAGTCTCAGTGTCCTCCCAGAACAATCCTATAAAACGCTTCCTGAGCCCCTTTCCCGGAGCGGTGATCACATTAGCTTCGCTCACACAATCTCTTCGACTGAAATTGATCTCAGTCTAATTGACTGTTTTTCTCCTTCCCAGCCAGGGCCCATTTTAAGAAAAGTACACAGCGGCTAGACTAGACAATAAGGAGCAGTGAATAAGGGGACCGGAGGGGAAGTGCCCACTGACTGACCGCAGGGGCCTTGCTCGCCAGGCCTACAGGTCTCCTGGAGGTCATGTTGGGGCCACGAAAGAGAAAGAAATGTGCGGTGACAGCATGCCGTCCCCATCCTTAAAGACTGGCACCTCCTCTTCTGCCCACGAAACTCAAAGAAGGCAGATAGGTAAGGAGACGTGTGAGTGAACATTTAAAATGGCTTAAACAGATGAAGTATTTTTCACAGCTAAAGTGGGTTTTGTTGGAGAAAGTAAATACATTGCTGACTACTTAGTTTAGCCTTTCCCCAACTTCATTCTCATACCGCCTTCACGTTCTTGTCATATTCCAAGCGACCTCTCCTGTGGGGCTGGGGTGGTGGGAGCCGTATGCTCCAGCTGCATGGGGTGCAGATATTCTAAACCAGTCGTAACACACACTATAAGGCAGACTGCTTTTCTTATGGGCATCGTATATTGAAGTCCTAACCCCCAGGACCTTAGAACATGACTGTATTTGGAGATAGGGCCTTTCAAGAGGTCAGTTAAGATGAAACGTGGCCACAGTGATGGTCCTAATCCAATATGACTGGTGTCCTTATAAAAAGAGGAGATTGGAACACAGACACGCACAGAGGAGAGAAGGAGAGAAGACACCAAAGAGAGAGCCCTCAGAATGAAACTAACCCTGCCGACACCTTGATCTTGGACTTCCAACCTCTAAAATTATGAGAAAATAAATTTCAGTTGTTTAAGCCCCCAAGTCCACGATAATCTGTCATGACAGCTAAGTGAGAAAAAGATATTATAATGTAATACCGCTTCATATTAACACCATGTGCTAGTGATTCTAAACTAGTTCTTTTTAACAGTCTCCTCTGTAATTATTCCTGAGCTATTTTTCTTTTATTGACTCCCTTTTCCCAGACTTATCAATGCCCTCAGCAACAAGCAGTGAGCTCAAGGCCTTCCTGTGCTATTTTAAATATTTCTCCTCGTACACATGGCAACACATACACCCCCAAAAAGCAAGGAAGCCATCAAAGGCCACTGAGGTTGAGTCAAAAGGACACAGGTGCTACCTGGTCAGGTTGTCACGGGCCGGAAGATGGGACCATTTGAGCATCCAAAATGAAAATGATAGCCAGGGTTAAATCACATCAAATACTGTATATATAAGTCCCTGAGTTCATAAGGATACTGGAAAAGAAAAACCCTTCGTTGTCACCATTAATGGTTGCCAGGTTCCTGACTCACTTCTCTGAAAATCAATCAATCAATAAAAAAGAAGCAGACACTTTTTCCCCTTTTTCTGTATGAACTGTACAGTGTTAGGGAACCACTAGTTGATGAGGGAAGGTTCTTCTTTGTAGAGGCATTCCAGCTAATGATAAAGGCAGAGGAATAAGTAGAAAATGGCCATCACGTGACTCCTGATGAAATAGAGCATCTAGGCAATGCCCATCAGTACAATGGGGACTATATACTGGCTCGGTCAGGCGGACAATACACGAACCCATTACTCAATATTAAAATTACAAAAAGAGAAGCCATCAGACATTACATGCCCCATGATGCGATGCAACAGCACTCCCAAAGTTAAATATTGAATCTGGATATGACGATGCCTCTGGCTCCATTACCATTCTCCAAGAAATACTGGGTACAGCGGTACATGCTAAACACCACCACGAGGATGCAATCAGCCAAGTCCAGAGTGTCGCCCCTGCCAGGGGAAGGACCCGGCTTCTTTGGCAGAGTAATGGGGGTGGGGGTGGGGGTGGGGGAGACAGGGAAGGGAAACAGTGAGAAATCAGGAGATCTGAGAGACAAATAATCCAAAAATCATGCATGGTTCTGGTTTGGATTTGAACAACCCAATGGTCAACATGCATTTTTGAGACAAATGGGAAAAACTGAACATGGTCTGCATTTTAAATGTAGTTACTACATTATTTTAGATATAACAACAGTACTTTGTGCTAAAAAAAAAAAAAAAAAAGGTCCTTATCTGTTAGAGGTACATACTGAAAACTTGTGGGTGAAATGACATAGCTTCTGGCGTTTAAGATACTCCAGCTAAAAACACAGAGAGGGAAAGAATGTGGCCCGACCAGCGTGGTTTAGTGTTTGAGGACCGACCTATGAACCAGGAGGTTTTGGCTCCATCCTGGGCACATGCCTTGGGTGTGGGCTCGATCCCCAGTGTGGGGCGTGCAGGAGGCAGAGGATCGATGATTTTCTCTCATCATTGATGTTTCTATCTCTTTCTCCCTCTCCCTTCCTCTCTGAAATCAATCAATAAAAATAGTAAAAAAAAAAAAAAAAAAAGGAATAGAGGGTGAAAGGAGAGAGAGAAGAAGGGAAGGGTGGGAGGGAAGGAGGGAGAGGAGAAGAGATTTAACATCTAAAGAACATGAAAGTGTGCCAGGTGTGTGTGTTTTACCAAATCAGGAATGCTCTCCAGGATGCCCAGGATCTCTGGGTCACTCAGCCGGTTGTGGGAAAGATCCAGGACGCAGAGCTTCAGGCACTCCTTCAGATGCCGGACGTCTTCCACCGTCTCCAGGTGATTGTGGGCTATCTGCAGCGTGTTCAGGGCTGGCAGACAGGCTGGAAGGCAAGGTCAGCAGAAGTAAACAACCGAGGCACAAACAGGTTTCCTGCCCAGAGCAGACCATTTCAGAACCGCCCCCAGGGAACGCGGTGGACATAATGGCATTGAGAAAGGGGGGGGGGGGGGGGG